CATCCGGAAAAAATTGCCTTGCAACCTGCGGCAACCATCCTTTCTGCCTCGACTAGCTTTTTTATTTTCCTAGCAGGGATTGTTAGATATGTATTTTAAATTCTAAAGTCAAATAAGTTGTATTGTTTCTTCTCAAACCTTTTTCCTTTGTTGCATGTCAAATCTATTCCACCCTTGGGTCTTTAATCTCACTAAGCCATTATTTCTAAAGCGGTCGCCTTACGGAGGATTTTTTAAGAACAACTGTGAGTAGATGAATATTATGAAGATGAATTGCAGATTTAAAAATGGAGATAAGAGCGATTTTTGCAGTGCAGAACTCTCGCAGCAGTGAAAATAAAGCCTGAAAAATTTAGGCTTGTACAGAAATTAAAACAATGACATTTGCGATACTGGTGCAGTGTTTCGCTAACTGAGCTAAAAGGAAAACTTCGAGCTGTTCATTTTGTTGGTTGGTAACAAACCCTTTGTTACATAAATTGCGGTAAACACTTGACATGTCTTCTTAGAGACTCTTTGCCCTTCAAGCGCGAAACTAACATAGAAGCCTCTGTATCAGTGAAAAAAATCATTTCAAGTTTATAACCTATGGACTGTTAAGACTTCAAGTGCGCTCTTATTGAAAAACAGTATGAAACATTTTCGTGGAAGAGTGATGACATGAACGGGGCCGGAAAAAACCTTACGGAAAAAACCCTACCCTAGTGTTCTCGTCATCTCGAGAAGAAAAAAAACAAGGAAAACGTAGGTAGGGGAAGAAGCAGCCGTAATATAATAAAATACCTATTATTATTAAGGGAACATACTTGGCGGTTGATCGTGTTGTACGAACCTCGCTGTACTCGGTCGATCATAACTTCAAGTCAAGTAGTCTCCCCCCCAAAAGTAAAAATTTTAAATGTAGAAGTGAACTGAACCTCATTTCCAAATTGGACAGACAGTGACTTCATCCAAAACATGTTCATTGAATGCATAGCACTGAGTTAGAATTTCCAGTGGGCACACAAAGCCCCTGAATATTTTGTGTTTAAGCCAACACGGCCGATACAAATTCTCCCGGCTGGGGCACATAGGAAAGGAACATTGCCACCCTCCAGTTTAAACGTATCAAGAAATCTGAGCAGAGCCCCAAAGTTTTTGACGAAGGTTGTTGCACGATCAATTCCTAATAATATCCTAAAATTTTTTTAAAGTTCAGCACAGGTTTACCCATCCACTACTTTAAAGGATCAGTTGCCTATGTCCCTAATTAACTTTGTGGCAGATGAGCCCTTTGCTAGCCCTATGCTAGCGCCTGAAACGGGTAATCACAAACGAATATAGAAACATTTTAGATGATTCGTTATTTTTCTTATTGCCTGTAACGAGCCAAATGTCATGGGAGAACGTGCTGAGCTACTTTAATTTAAGGAAATCTAATTTCTGTGTCAAGGCGTACCAAAAATGGCAGAAAGTCAAAACGAATGGTAATTTTTGCCGTTGCCCTCAATGAAGGGCTTGTGTTTTCATACTGAATGCGTTCTGAGTTCTTTTCCATGAAATTATTTGACAAAAACTACGACACAGTCTGCGAGTACAGTGAACAAATTCTTGTGTTTAATCATAATCAGCGTAAAAAGGTTTTTTACAGTGTTGTTCATCTTGGATAATTAGTACTGTCGACGTCTTTCATATTAGTTTTTAAAGCCAGAAACAAATTTTAAACTTTTATAAATAAACAATTCATACAATATAAGTCCTTTTTTCATTAAATGCGAGAAATTTATCTCTTCGACTTCTCAATGGCGACGATACTATACTGACCAAATCGATTCCAATGGCTTATTTACTCATTGCGGTTAAAGAAACAGCACAAACACAGACCCTCTCTTGTACACAACGCTGTTTATCGATTCCTTACTTTGCCACTTGTGCAGCTCGCACCATCGACTTTCAAAGTCAAAATTTATAGCACTGCACGGGTTCATAGCAAGGCACCTCTGTGCACAATCGATGATTCCAGTTGTCTGTGAAGAGCCTAAGTCTTGGCCAATAAGAGCCTGATTGAATCCAGTGCAACTTCCGCCCACAAAGTGACGGGTGTCTCTGAGGTTATAAACATATCTCGACGCATCGCTCCCACGAAGCTGAGTGTACCAGATGAATAGCATGATGTTAAATATTATTCGCTTTTGCATCTTGTACGGTAAAGAAATATTAACGGTCTACTTCCTCACCACGATGACAAAGTATTGCTTCGGTTTGAACTCTTGATATGCTATCAGAGAGGACTTTCTTGGTTCTGGTGCTTAGGAAAGTTTTAAACATATGAAACAGCAGATGAATTAAAATCTGCATATAAAGGATAAATTTCATTTAAATTTTAAATGTAGGCGAGGGGTGGTTGCTAAACTGGCTCAATTTTAATTAATTCTCGGCAAAAAGTGATATTTTTTCAAGTATCTACTTACAACAGCCATTAGCAGTGTAATTAATTTTAGCGTAAACTGAAATTTCAGCAATAAGTGATAATAATTATTTTGATGAATCGCTTAAACGGAATATAAGAAGGGTAAAATCGTTAACTCAATTTTAGAGCCAGTAGTATTTATATGGAAGAAATACTTTAATGTTTACCGATAACTACGGAATGAAAGTAAACTTTAAGTGTGGCGAATAAACATGATTGGTCAGATAACTGTCTATCTGCTCAACGAAAGCTGTCACCATCGGGTGTATGTTTGTTTGGATTTCGGCAGGTGACCAATGCACGGATTCAAACTTTAGCAGTTGTATTTGTCCTCAATCAACAACTGTGTTTGCTTACAAAAATTCCCATTTTGTCTTTCTATCACAAGGCAAATAATGTGAGTAAACTGCATATTTTATCACATTATCACATTTCCAAGTTCAAAGAAAACTTTGTCCGTAGGAGTAACTTTTGCACAGCTTTTCAGTTCACGTTTGTTCTTTTAGGTCCTTTGAACGGATGAAATATAAAATTTCGGCCCCCTTTTGAATGACATGAAATTGTAGCAGTCGTACCCCTTTCATTGATATACTATCTCTGCCAATAATAGATAGACTCTTCTTGTGACGTTTGTTTGGTATGTTCATTTTTTGGACCCATTTCTTTGGCAACCTAAGCTTGGTCTTCTTTAGCAGGTAAACACTGTTTTTAAAGCTGACAGGACTGACGCAGTTTGTGTAGTCAGTTGCAAGGTTTGTATACAATACTGAAATGAAGTTTCCCAATTCAAGACAAGTACTAACGTTATTTCTCTGGAGAGTCTCTGGAATGTTATCATAGACTATGAGAATGAGCATTAACGATACCTATAAAGAAAAGTTCTGTAAAGACTACTTACTCTTTCTCCACTTAAAAGGAAATCGTGCGAAAAAAAATCGAAAATAACAGCTATATGTGCGGCACTTAAGAGACTGGGATTAAGGTGTGATGATTGGCCCCTGCATTCCAATTTTTTTCTACTCTGAAACAGCCCATATTTCACTAAGGGCGTTTCCTGTTTGCTCAGGAGACCATCTCACATCAAAGAGGTATTGTCTTTAATTCGCATTAGTCTTTGTCTTCAGCTGGGAAAAGAGTTCTACGAACAATGAAGCATTTTTTTCCCTTGGTGCTCTTGGTTTTCTTGGGAACCGAAGCTACTGAGAGGTAAGACTAAACTGGAAATTGTTGAAAAAGCAATTTCATCTAATATTTAATTGGAAAGAAGTTTGTTTTTTGAAACTAAGAAAAATCATACAAATTGACAACCCTGACGAACAATAAGAAATAGGTTCTATTTTTCCAAGACCCCAGGCAATATTAGTACAATATATCTTAGTTCTGATCTTCTAGGTAATGATTTTTAAACTTGGAATTCAGATATGACCATGCTCCATGAACTTAAGTCATTTTTAAAAGAAGATGGAATTTTGGTCAGTCCTCAGAGATATCCATCAGAAGATAAAAATAGAATAAAAACGAAAATAATAAACTAAAGAAAATGGCGAATATCTGCTACAAGACTTGACCAAATAATAAGCCGAGATCCCTCCCGAGGCTCGAAACCCAATTTAGAACGATTGGCTCTCCGATGTCCTACCAATCGAATTACAGAGAACTCAACTGGTTTGACATTCGATCAAAAAAGTAAATTAAGCTTGGCTTAGCTTTGAATCTTTCGAGTTTTCGGCTGTTTAACGACGCTGAAAACGGCTGAATATTACCGAAAACCGAAACAATAACTAGAGTTGTTATATCTCACCTTATCGGAACAGTGATAAGTACCTTGAAACAGTTACACGTACAGTCATTCGAAGTATTGATAATGCAAACGGTTTTTTTTCAACTAGGGGAGAATAATGCAAAAAACAACAAACAGTTGACCATGTGTTTTCAACAGATCTAATTGTGGTAATGAGTTAAAGATGGTGTTTAACGTTTTAATGCTAGTGAGAGAGTATCGTCGTGAGCTTCATTGTTCAGTCTGGTCAAGACATGCTTAAGGTGTTTAGAAATTCTTTATGCCGAATTCCGTAGTGAACTTCCATCGGAAAACTCGTCGAAAGGTTTTTCAGCAAAGCGCTCTCTCCCAAACCGACAGCTCTTGGTGGGCTATTGGGGACAAAATGCAATCGGTACAAAAGTCAGCAGACCGTACTGGGAGAAAGACCTGCGCTACTTCTGCAATCAACACAAGTTTGATATTTATTTGGTTGCATTTGTGCACCGGCTCTTTAGGGATAACAGAAATAGAGGTAAGGACATTGAGGAGAGATTCTTCGATGTATCGTTGATGGCGAAATTATGTTTTGCATGAATTGGCTTGGCTTTTTTTCCCATCCATTTAGCCTGATATATTCATTTAGGCGACCATTCATTCATTCCCTGTTTCGTGCATTCATTTATTCATTCACTTGCTTTCGGAGAGACTTTTCGTTGCATGCACATGACTTTAAATTTTCTAGTTTTTGTATTTTTGTCTAGTGACATAATCAGAATGCGTGTATCTTGATCGAAATTTGATCTTTGATTTCTACTTTGCACACGAAAAACTAACAGGAAATTTTAGAAGGAAAAATTTCTTAGGCAGGATAAGCAGGATAATCTTATAGAAGTTATCAATTTCCTTGCACATTAATATTCTAGATGGTTATCCTGGGATGAACTTCGCCCATCACTGCAGTTATGCCCCAGACTCCCAAAACCCTGACCTTTTCGAGTGCGCTACTATCGGGGGCGGAATCAGAGATTGTCAGAAGCTAGGTAGGAAAATGCTGATATCCCTTGGCGGGGATACTTGTGACGGCAGCTTGGGGACTACTGAAAACGCCAAGAAACTTGCGTACTATATATGGAATCTGTTCCTGGGAGGCAAGGATATGGAGGACAAAAGGCCATTTTTGTGGTAAAAATTAACTTCTTGGCCATCTTATTGTGCTTGATCACTCATAAACAAACAAAAATAATGAAAACTGAACTTTCTTCTAGGCCTCTTTCAGAGAGGAGATAATTGTTTATGATTACAAAGTAAATTCAAATGTTTTTATGCACGAGTTCTGTTGCTGCTTTGCAATTTGGTTTTTGACCTTTCTTAATTTCAAAGCATGAATTCCCAACTCTGGAGGAGAAAAGCCGAAAGATGAAAAAGTAAGAGCTTAACATTGATTATCTAAAGAACAAACGTTAGAAATAACATGATCCCTTCATAGGACCGTGATGGATGGTGTTGATCTTGATATCGAGATAGGAAGCCATAGATACTATCCTGACTTTGTGCGTGAGATGCGCCGTCTTATGAACACAGATCCCAGTAAACAGTATCTAATAACCGCGGCACCGCAGTGTCCATTTCCTGATAAGTGGATGGGACCTCAAATACAAGGATCTGCACTGGAACGTATGTGTCTGTACACTTTATGTCTCTTTTTTTGTGAGTGTTTATTGATTCATCATCCGTTGGTGAGTCTGTCTGAACATTGGTTCCTTGAGCACTAGGTCGTCCTCACGTAATAATTTGTTTCCGTCAAATTCAATGGAACGTAAGCCCATTCAGGGAAAACCCTCGTGACCAGGGCAAGTTTCCCCTGAATAGACTGAATGGAGGTTGAATAAAGGGGGTAAGTTTCTGAAGAAGCTTTCAATTGGCGCTGCGTCGGTGGAAGAGTTAACAGGGTAATTAAGTTTTATCAACGGAGTTAATAACGTGAATTGGCCACCTTGAAGAGTTACAAAGCTGAAGTTTTCGAGAGTTAGCTCTTCGTTAGCCCTTCGCTATGACGAAGGGCTAACGCTCGAAACGTCAGCCTTGTAACTCTTTACGGTGGCCAATTTACGTTAAATTGATTGTACTAAATTACCCTGAATGGAGGTTGGCTTGGGGTTTGTTAATATATAAGCACCGACAAAAATACGATCGTTTTTTTTATTTTTAATTTTCTGGCCTGTTATCTGGTGGAGTCGATATTTCGGGCCGCAAAACGTTTTATCTACATGAGGGTCTTATTGGAATACCTAAAAGAGTTTTCATTGGAACTTCAGTTATGGAACTGTGGCAAAGGTTCCAGGTGCGGAACTGTGGCGATCCCTTTATTTGAGACGACTTTTGACTGGAATGACTGTAGAATTTAAAATTTAACTTGAAGTTCAGAAGTTATGATACCGTTTCTTTCTCTGTAGATTATGGCCAAGAATTTGACTACTTATTCATACAGTTCTACAACAATTACTGCTACCCTGGAGACCATTACTTTTTACCTGTAATTGACACTTGGTTACAATGGGCGCGAAGTGTTCCTAATGGTCCGCTAATTGTTCTTGGCCTGCCGGCTGGACCGCAAGCCGCTGGCAAACCACATTACTATTTCCCACCTGATAAACTGGCTCACGTGTACAAGGTATCACT